CCCCAAAACCCCAAAACCCCAAAACCCCTTTGTGATTCAGGAATATTGGAAGACTTCATGACTCTTTAACTCTTCATTAGAGATCGAAATTAGGCCCATAATCGCCTGTTATAGTTCATTTAATAAGGTTCAAGAATATTGTCAAAAATAATGGAAGCTAAGAGAACTGGGAAGAAGACCTCACCTAAGACTATGTACAACTCTGGTTATTCTTTGTCGTACTTTAACCACCTGCCACATAATGAAGCCAAGATTTTAAGTATGCACATTGAGAACCTGACTAAGTCACAGAAGAAGAAAGTTGTAGATGAGCCTTACATATTCAGATTTTCATATCTTGACCAGTCAGAAGCTATAGCAAAGAGAACTATTGAGGAAAAGAAAGATCCTTCTATTCGGCTTGGAGAGGGCCTTATTACCAAGATGAACAGATGCCTTGAAAGCGCACTGAAATCATACGCTATTCTGGACTTCTCAGGGATGAGCATTCCTGTAAAACAATTGATAAAGCATCTTTCAAAGCTTAAGTCTATATGTATCTTAGATATATCGTATAATGTCAGGCTTTTCAAGAAAGAACCAAGAGTAAAGTACTTCAACAGGTTCTTGAGAAGAATTTTCCTCGCAAAATGTCAGAAAACTCTGAAGAAGCTAAGCATCGCTAAATCAGGAATGACAGAAGAACTGGCTTACAACTTCTGAAGATGCTTGCCAAGAATGAAAACTTTACAGAAATTGGATATTAGTGGAAATTTGATTGGAGAGAAAGCAGCCCTCACTCTTGCTCAATACCTTGAGAATGATGAGGTATTATTAGGATTAGATATCAGTGCCAATAAGATCGGTGATATAGGTGGTAAAGCCATTTTAGAAGCCTTACAAGAAAACCCAGCTTTGGTAGACTTAAACCTCTCCTTAAATGATATGACTAGCTCAATGTCAAAATCAATATATCAGTTGATCAAGTTGAATAAGAAGCTGAAGAGGATCAATTTTAGTTTCAATAAGCTAGAAAATGAAGGACTGAAGTCGATCCTTGATTCCCTATCCTATAACGAAAATTTAAAATGTATCAACCTGGCTGGTAATGAGATCACCTCTGATGGATTTAAGTATTTATTAAAGTTCCAACAATCAATGTATGGATTCAGTCTGCTCAAGTTGAACCTCTACCTAAATGAGCCGGATAAAGACCAGAAGAAGGTCTTGTCATCCAAATTCCAAGATTTGGAGACCAAGATTTTATTTTAAGTTGATAATTTTTCAATAAAATAACCAAAAAATGGGGTTTTGGGGTTTTGGGGTTTTGGGG